GCTACTATGAAAAGAGAAGGATTTTGCTAATGATGCAGACAGGGACCATCCTACACTGCAGAGTGACGAATGAGAAGAAATAGTATGGAAGGTCTCAGAAAGTGGAGCTCTGCTCTAGCCAGTTTAAAGACCACCCAAACTGAAGATCTGTTAAACCAAGTTTAGATACTGTTTTCTAGTTTAGGAAGATATTGAAGAAAGAAAACCAGCTGTATACCGTGATTCACATTGAATTTGTCTGCAGTAAAACTGGCAAGTGCTAGTAAAGTTCCCTGAAATGATCCTCTCTGAGTGTTGTTACTGGAGTTAAGACCAGGATGTCAGACAATATTTCATCAGACAATGAAAGAAAATGAAGACATGAAATTTGGGCTTTGGGGAGCCTGAAGAATAAAATCCTCCCAACTACTCCAGTCACCTTCCCATAAATGTAAGAGAAAAAGGGAAGTGTCAGGTACATTTTAAACAAAAAAAGTAACGAAGTTATGCTCTGTGTCAAAAGCCAAAGACCACCGCAGGGAAGGGAAGAAAGACACTAATGGATCTCATGACTACCCAGAGTATACAAGACACCACCTTGCTGGCCCCTTATTTTGATTTTTATGGCAACAGATAAACTACTTTTTGTTGGATGACACACATGAAAACTTCCATAAAAATCATCTCCAAGCATGTGCCTGTTCTTCTCATTAATGCCTCATCATTTCAGTGCCTGCAAGTAAATACCCATGTTCATAACCCATCTGATAAGTAAGTTAAGTATCATGTGCACAGAAAATATGAATCACATCAGAAACCTCTGAATAGCTTGGAAAACACGATTATATCAATATATTAACATTTGAAGAGACAAGCCCAGAATGCTTTCAAGAAACTATTATTCATATTATTGTTCTAAAGTGAGACAACACAACAGATTTATGTACCAAGTACAGAAAGAGGTACACCCAGAGTTCTGGTGCCCATACTGTGAGGTAGATTTTCCATCCCATTAAAACTAGTTCTACAGGCACAGATAGCCTCGCTTTTGACTTAATGTGCAATATTTTGTTAAAAGAGCTCCGAATAAATGCTAATAGTCCCTTTCACTAAGTTCAGTAGCAGTTACAGGCTCCATATTCCCAGCAAACACTCTGATTTCCCTAGCAGGTTAAAACAGCTAGGAAAAATAACATTTTTTAAAAGACTGTGACTCCACGGGCTTTGGAATTCATCGCGGCACCAGGGGATTTTCAAACTTGCTACCTTTCGTCCTAACTCTCTTTGGTTTAGGGGAGAACCTACACCCTGAGGAAACACCTTCGCCCACACCACACTTGTTGCCTATAGGAACATCAGCACAGGCGGCTGTAGGCAGCACGTGCAGAGCTGGGATTCCCAGCCATGCTGCCGGTGGCCCACTGGGAACGCTGCTGTACGTACGCTGCTCTCGCAGATGCTGCGCCGATCTCTTCTGAACTGCCCAACGACACCAATCGCTCTCTGAGGAGCTGCCAGTTGCCCTTAAGCAGTTACTAAGTCTATTATTACTATTATCGGCCCAGTAAACCCAGGTAGAGAGAATCCCTGATCTAAGCCACAAAGCTGAAGACATTTCTCAACCAGTCTGACAGCATCCAGTCTCTAAAACAATCACTTCTCTAGAAAACCAGCATTTTCCTTGCCATTTTTTTGTTTGCACTTCTTCTGTTTAGCACTAGCTTTAACAATTGCTAGCCTGTAAATCCATCAAATTCAAAAGACAGTATCAGAGCAGCTTCTCCGATTGCTGGGCAACAAAAAGAAACACGTATGTACATTAAAATACAGCAACTTGAGAAGTCCAGGTTTGCTTACTGCAACTGCCTCTCAGGTGACAGTAACTGCAAAAGCAGAAAAGGTTTTGCTTGTAAAGCCCTGTGAATTACTAAGCCTTCAGCAGAGAAGTATTGGTTTAAATCAATACAGATGTGAAAGAAAATAGAAAGTGGGGGTTGCGTGGTTGCTTTTCTGAGGAAGAGGAAGAAAAACGAGAAAGGATTTAGAAATCGCAGTTTCCAAGATTATTCCCCAGTGGAAAGAAATTAAGACTGTGTCTCACCCTTCTACGTAAAAAACCACTGCAGTCCCTCTGAAGTCAATCACCCTATTCCCGCTGACTTCCCAAAATATAGCATCAGTGAAGTTTTCCAGCCCAGGATGCAGGGCACGCTTATAAACTACAGTATTGGCAATACAATATAGTTCAGCATGGAGGAATCCTAGCTGCCACATGACTGGAACCCACCAAATTTACACAACACCAAACCCAGAATTTATATTCCTCTCGTTGCTGAAAGTGTGCAAAAGACAACTAAACAGCCACAGTTACTGAACAACTGAGCTACAGACATGCAAACCTCTCCCTCAGGAAAAATATTTTTTCAAAACTGTTAGCTTACTAAGTATATTAAGAATTCTTGGTTACTAATTACATCAAGATTTTTTTTTTCCTTTGCATAAGCCCGTCTCTGAGACATCAAATCAAGAGATTAGGGAATCCAGTTATCTACTGACTTTTCTCGGAAGCGACCTTGCCAACAAACCCTCAGCAGTCACAAGGAGAGATTTTACAGAGATCAAAGGGATCAAGACTGGAGAAAAGGCTCATTATAAATTTATTTTTTGCTAACTAGTGGATGTTTGCACATGATCCAGCTCACTCTGCCTCACTCGTTTGCCCTCATTCAATATTTTGAGACATTCACAGACAGAAGATTAACAGGAATAAATCTTCCGCAGCCCTAGTGATGGATTTTAGTCCTAGCAGCACACAGCCAACTTCTTCCAGGGACTGAGCTGGAAAACAGCAGTCGTTGTTCCAGGATAGAACATCTAATTACCAGATATTAAGAGAGCATCATTAATACTCCTCAGCTGACTCTCGATAAACTACTAGCATCAGTATCTAATGGGAGGAGAGGTAAATTAAGTTAATACACATCAAGATTTTTCCTCAGTGCATCACGTTACAAGCACTAGACATCTCCAGAAATCTCTATATTCTTCTAGGTCCCAAAACCTACTGCAACAAAAGGATGCTTAATGTTTTTGCTCCTCCATTCACCTCACCAGGCTCTGGACCATGAAATAAAGTGACCTGGAAATAAATTTTGAAATCTGAGCACTCAAAGGGCTTATGAACACCTGCAGCACAAATCCCTAGACAACCCTGCATACCTGTTAAACTCTGTTCATACAGCTTCAGACTGCAGGGTGCTACAGGAGCCTGACAGTGAAGGCAGCACCCGTCAGCCTGCCCTTCGCCAAGTTCAAACCAGTATAGTAAGAATTTTAAATATTATAAGCATCAAATTCATGAAACTAGAAGTGTTCCACTAACCAAAGAAACTTAATTATGCTGTATTGGATCAAAGGAAATAAACTTTGGTTGCTACTCAAGAGGCCATAATGTGCCTCCTGAAGTAATGACAGCTACTCTGACCGGAAAGGCAGGTAGGGATGGGCTCTCAAATACCAGTCAACGAATTCAAGTTATCAGATGTCTTCTGCTAATGGCCTAATAAAATAAGAGATAAAGCAACCTCAGTCCACAGACCTATTAGGCTAAACTACTAGACCAGTTTAGTGCAGGAGAGGCCCTGAGTAGCAAAGCCTTTGCCTGAACACTAAGTATGTCTAATTAAAGCATCTTTTGCCCGTTGCTGCCTACAAAACTGGGGACATGGGCAAGATGTCAACACCTCAGGACATACTACCATAAGGTATCACTGGAGCAATTCCTGGTTCACGTGCTGGAAGTAAGAGCAGATTGTAAAGCTTGACATCTATGCACCACCACACAGACAACAAGGTGACCATTTTCACCGAGGAACAGTTCTAGCTGCTCATCAGCCTGCCCTGATTTTTATCTTAGGCATGGCTTGGCTAAAATCCCAAGGTATGTTCAGACCACGAACACTGAATTTTGAGGGCATCGTTCTGGTTTTTGTCTTTAAAATAAATCTTAGTGGTGAATCCTCCTCAGCACTAAGCTGCTGCTTTAGCCGAGATTCCGGCATCCCTACTACCACTGCAATTTGAAAACGTGATCAGAATAACACATCAGGCGTGCAGATTTGCAGGGGGGGCAACTGATGACTCAGCTCATTTCTTGCTGCAACGAAACAAAATTAGCCTAGACAGAAGTCTGGATGCAAGCATTTTGTCTGCTCCAGCCATGGGCAAAGACCTTGCCTGCAGTGTGACGGCCTTCCCAAGCTAAGCTGTGATGGGCCTTGGCTTACAGAGAGATAAAGAATTCCCAGCACACAACCAGAGAGTGTCATGAGAAGTGCAGTGAGTGACTAAGTGTCGCCCTTTTCTTCGAACTGACGCTGGTACGGCGCTGCAGTGGCTGCCGGCGGGACTCACGGCACTGCTTTTCCACCTAGGATGGAAAACTCGGGTCTCTACTTCTTGTTCTCATTCAGAGAAGCCTACAGGCTTTTTAAGAAGACTACTGGATGCTGGCCTTCTAGGCATGGCTAAATCTCACCTGAAGCACATGGTTTTGTACGCCTCAGTCCCTCCTCCAGTTTTATACGGATCAAGTATTCTTCACATCCTCTCTTAAGGCACAGAACAGCATTGCTAAGGACCTAGTCTTAAATCTCTGCTGCAATTCACTAATAAATTAAATTATTCACAGAATGTACTGTACGTTCTGTGGTATGCTACGTAACAGCTAGACATTATTAACAGTTAAGTATATCATAAAACAGTGAAAATTAATTACATTTTTCTCAGAAGAGAAAATAAATAGCTTTGTGCTCATAAAACAGAGAGGTCTGACCCTCAGCTTTAAGGAGCCTCCACCTCCTGCGCTGCTCTGGCTTGCTGTAGAAACCTGGCAATAGTTACGGCTACCGTGCCAGCTGCCCCCAAGACAATTACTCCCAGGCTTAGAAAGCACTGACAGTTAGAGCCCAAAGCAAGAAATAATGACAAATATGCTTCTTCAAAAATATTGCTTCCAGCACCTGATTCTCTATGGCCTTCCTGTTTTTTGGATCGCTAACAATTGAGAGCTGCAACTCTGCCATCTTTTTCATCTTGCTATCCATGTCAATCTTCTGGAAGAGACTCTTGGTTTGATTTTTCAGCAGCCTAACGGTGTCCTCTTTCCCAAGCTTCTTTGCAAAGAGGGAAGCACAGGCGGAATGTATGGCAGTAACCCAGTTTTCCAGGTCCGTCTGGCTTGTCGCCTGTGAAACAAATCAACGGTGCAACGTTATAAGCAGACAAGAGAAGAAAAAAAAAAAAATCAGCAGCTCTAGGACATGAAGTGCTTGACAGGTTCACTGAGATCTTAGGCACTTTATCTTAAAACCAGTGAAATAAGGTTTTATCTTTAAAACTGTGCAAATAGAGGAACCGTGAGCTTCTCCTGCACTGTCGTGACTTGCCTCCGACCTTCAGCTTCTGCATCTTAGACCTGCAAAGTCTGAGGGCTTCACGAGCACAACGGAGCCCCACGAGCTGCGGGAAAGGTGAGACTGGCATCCCTCCAATCAACTAAGGTAAAATCCAACCGGTTTCAAAGATAAACTTCCTCTTGTGCAGGTAACACAGCAAAAGAGATGATTTCACATGTAAGGTATGAGGAGAGGTGTTTCCTTGCTTAAAATGTGCCAAGTAGTGGAGAGAGGACAGCAAGGTAAGGAGAAAACATCTGCAGAAAGTGTCTCTGGAGATATTTACAAGTGTGCCTATAAATGAACAGGGTTTTATGCAGGCAGTTCCACACAATACTGTTCTTTATTAATATCTCCAGTGGCACGGTTAAGCAGCCAAGATCTTTAGATTATTTTTAGCTTTCTTTTTTGAATGCCTTGCTCAAGCAAACTCTGTTTGAGGCCACCAAATTCAGGTCTGAGCCCATCATTCTGTAAGGGTGAAATACTAATAGACGTGGGGGAAAAAAAAAAAAAAAGAAAAAACAAAGCTGATTTTCTACAAGCTTGTAACCACAGGTACCAAAAGCATCTCACAGAATTGTGATGTGTTCTTTTTATTTCTGAACTATAATTCATAGATTCATAGATTTCTAGGTTGGAAAAGACCTTAGAGATCAACCAGTCCAACCGTCCCTAATCCCCATTAAACCATATCCCTAAGTAGATCATCCACCCTTTTCTTAAACACATCCAGGGATGGGGACTCAACCACCTCCCTGGGCAGCCTGTTCCAGTGGCTGACAATTAAGTGAGCCAACTGATGCAATATCATACACCTATCCTTAAACCAATACTATACTAGTACAGTGTAATAATGCAATTATACTGTTATTTTTAAGGCAAAGGCACAAGCAGGATGTGTGTGTATGTATGTGCATACACAACCACATACGTGCATGTGCACACCCACAAACGCATCCTAAAACGCAAGCAACCACAAAGTTACCTGAAATAGGTAGACATCTCCAAAAGAATTGCTGAGACAGAAGACATTTTCTTTCTTGGGATGTTCTGGAACAGACTGCACTATACTGTCTTCTGCAAAGAGGGCGTACCGAGGCAAACTGCTCTGCTCCAGCGAGTTCCTTCCGTAGGTCTCGTAAAACAGCAGAGTACAACCTGTGCAATTCAGAGTGACAAAAAGCATAATGAGGAAGTAAGTTCTGGATCTCACATTTGAGTACTCTGATACTAACGCTTTTGTAATTAAGATACTCTTCGAAGACAGGGAACATCGGTTCTTTCGAAACAGTGAAAAAAGGAAGATCTTCTAAACTGGAAAACAGGCAAAGATAACGATGAATTTGCCAATGAAAAGTTGGAACAGACATCTAATAGGGACACAACAAACGCCTATAGACTGAAGAAAAAAACAAACAAACAGGGTACCTCAAAATGGAAGGTTGGATGAGACTTCGAGCAACCTGATCTAGAGGAAGGTGTCCCTGCCCATGGCAGGGGGGTTGGAACTAGATGATCTTTAAAAGGTCCCTTCCAAGCCAAACCATTCTGCCCTTCTTTGAATAAACTCAGCTTATTAAAATGTTGAAGCATGTAGAAAAGACTAATTCCTGCTTAGTTAAATCAGCTTTTGTGTTTCCTTATTAAATTCAACCAACTCTCTCATAACAGCCACCTAAGAAATCTTTGTATTTGTTGCAAAGATTTGCAGAAACTTTTGTCTTCAAACAACACACTTAGTGAATAAATTTCTCAAATTTAAACTGGGTTTCCTTGAATCCACCTGCAGATTGTGGATTTCAAAAACGAACACAACATGAATAATTTAAAATGGTTTATAGGGGTTGAGTTTGAGCATGTACAGTCTCACAGATAGTAAAGCATGTAAGGTACAAGACTTACATCCAGAAAACAAACTTCACCTTTTATGATGACAATCCTGAGTATAACAAGAGGAATTACTTCTGGAGGACAGCAGAAGGGACTCGATCCTAGTCCCCAGCAGTACGACAACATTGCCACGTTGCCTTTGGCAGTGAAGCTGGCTTAAGAAGGGTCTGTCCCCTCCATCCCCACCACTCCTGCCCCATGTTACAGTCCATCGTGCTCTGAGATGCACGGATTCGCTTGTCCAAGGGGTCACAGCCAGAACTGCGTTACTAAGATAATCTAGCTAAAAATTATCCTGTCTTTCTCAAGAATTTCTTAAGCTAGTAATGCATCGAGAGAAAATAAGTAAATAAACCTCACTTACACATCTGGGAGATGGCAGTTTAGTAACAGTGAGCTTGGTGTGGGGTTTTATTATTATTTGGAAGATAAATTAATACTATACTATTGCCGTATGTTTAACGTGGAAGAACTAAGAACAGATACTACAAACACATTTTGAAAACTGAGAATAACCTAAGTAGTCTTCTGCTATGAAGACAGGCTGAGAGAGTTGGGGCTGTTCAGCCTGGAGAAGAGAAGGCTCCGGGGGGATCTTATTGCAGCCTTCCAGTGCCTAAAGGGGCTACAAGAAAGCTGGAGAGGGACTTTTTCCAAGGGCATGTAGTGACAGGACACGGGGCAATGGCTTTAAACTGAAAGAGGGCAGATTTAGGTTAGATACAAGAAAGAAATTCTTTACATTGAGGGTGGTGAGGCACTGGAACAGGTTGCCCAGAGAAGCTGTAGATGCCCCATCCCTGGAAGTGTTCAAGGCCAGGTCGGATGAGGCTTTGGACAACCTGGTGTAGTGGAGGATTTCCCTGCCCATGGCAGGGGGGTTGGAACTAGATGATCTTTGAGGTCCCTTCCAACCCAAACCATTCTATGATTCTATGATTCTAGTCAGAAAAATGTAAGGCAGGTGGTGGATTCCCCAGCAAGGTGAGCCTTCTCCAAGAGATATGCTTAAATTCCTTCAGAAATTAATTTAAAGACCACCTATGGCCACAGTACATAGGGAGTCAGACTAAATAACCACAGTGGTCCCTTAGTGCCTAGGAATCCATGAACACAAGACTGCTGTCAGCTCTGTACATATGCAGTAGAGGGCTTGAAACGCTGTCAATATAAGGATTAAGTTTGCCAGGGCTACAGCACTGTTATCTCTCTAGTCTGCTTTTGCTGTTGTTTTTCCTTCAAACCAAAGAAGCATCACAAAACAGGGCAGCATCAAAACAGAGATTTTGAGTGGACTTGCTGATTTTCTGGCTGTTGCTGTTTCTCTGTGTGACACACTGTGTGCACGTATGCACACCTAGGAAGTACGCATCAAGGGGATGCTGAAAACCTGCAAAACAGCAATATTTGCTCTGCGGATGCTTTTAAAATAGTTAGGTAAAAACTGAGTTCAACCTTATTGTAGTACTTCTCTAACGCTTACACTTGACGTTCTACTAAAAATCCCAGGCACATCATCCAAACTCATGCAAAATTTGAGTTGAGCTTCCTCAAAACTCAAATCTCAAATCAGAACCAAAATCAAGGTTTCTTGGATTCTTCCATCTGGTAAAGGAGAAGGATGGGCCTATCGGAGTTAATGGGGCACACGTGCTGTGAAAAGCGGTGGAGGACGCTGGTCCTCATACTGCCCAGTTCTAAAGTGTATGGAAGCTGAGATCCATCAGACCCATTCCATCACATTCTCCAGTGCCAGTGACTGTACAACAGTTACAAGAAAAAGAGACATACGTATCAGAGGTTACCAAAGAGGTGACCAAATCATCTGATGACTGAAAAGTTTTCAAAGGAAGGAACCCAATAAATAGAAATGTCTCTATACTACTAAAGTGCGCCTTTTCTTAATACTGTCCAGAGTCTCTGGCAGAGTATTTAGGGTACGTGCAAATCCTACAGAGTTGGTCCTATCCTTGCCCCTCAGCAGCCCTCACTTGGACTTCTTTATGACACAGAAACACTGGGAGATGTGTGCAGTTGGCAAAGAAGGATATGGTTTGTTACAGTCTGCACATCAGGCATGGTGCTTCTGTCATCATTTCGATGTAACAGGGCAAACTAAGCCAATGAAACCAAGTCCCCTCTGGTATTCAGCAGCAGCACTAGCAGGACTGTACAACCACTTCCACTTCTGCATTTTAGGAAAGTGCAAATTAAGCTCTATTTTAAACTCCCGTATTCTCCCTACGTGTTGTCAAAAAGGTACCTAAAGATACATCATTTTTTATCCTGACAGTATGTACATAAATAAGAAATTTTGAAGGGTGTGCATGTGAGTTGAGGTCTATATTACTCCAGGCATGTCTTCAGGTCAAGTCAAGTGATCCCTGGAAGCAGTGAGTTTCACAAACTCTGACAGATCCACCAGGACTGATTATTGTCCAAGTACTTTAATCAAAACTTGAACTAAAGGAGGAGGGCAATGGGAAAGCAATTTCCCTCATTAGAATAAACTATTTAGACAGGACAGATGGAAAAGAAAGTTCCTCTTGTTAAAGGGTTACTATTCAAGCACAGGTCACGGTGGCCCCAAAAGCAGAGCAGAGGCCTCAGGACATGTATACTTTGAAGTCTGGCAGGTAACCAGATGGTTATAACCCTTCTGCATATTTATAATGAAACACATCTCAACAGAGTGCAAAAAACCATGCTGTTCTCCATTTGCATATGTGGCTATTTTAAGTCATATTTTTAAATATCTTGCCTATTTAAACTTCAAGAACAAATTAAATACAGATTTATTCAAAAGCCTTTATAAGGAGAACCAAAGCAAGCGCCTTGATCTTGATATAGCATATTACGAAAACAGAACTACGCCTTGATATCCAGACAGGCAAGTTTATTTTGGCATCAAAAGTCTCCACAGCACAATAAAGGTACGAGATCAAGGAAATGGGGAATGTGTATTTAAAACAGCGAACAAAGCGGAAGAGATTCTGCACCATGAATGCAGCCGTATCACCCATCCAAAGTAAAAAGTGTCATATCAAATAGATTTATTATAAAGAGAATCCCAGAATGTCAGGGATTGGAAGGAACCTCAAAGGATCATCCAGTCCAATCCCCCTGCCGGAGCAGGACCACCTAGATCAGATCACACCAGAACGCGTCCAGGCGGGTTTGGAACATCTCCAGAGAAGGAGACTCCACAGCCTCTCTGGGCAGCCTGTTCCAGTGCTCTGTTCCCCTTACTGGGAAGAGGTTCTTCCTCATGTTTAAGCAGAACCTCCTATGTTCCAGCTATAAAAGTTAATAAAGCTTTTTAAAAATCATTTTCTTATTCCTTCCTTACAGCTGGGGAAATTCAGGTGGCAAGGAGGGATGCGACTTGCTCAAGGTCACCAATAAGCCAATATTCTAGCAAAGAACCGAACATGAAGCACCTCAATTCCTTCCCAGAGCTTTGCTACCCCAGAAATGCACCACCTGTTAATATATAAAGTACTTCAGAGTTTTGATTGGATTTTTCAGAAACTACTTGCATTTCAGAAGAGGCAGATGAAACTCATATTTCTACGCTACAACGCAAACACACGCAGTAAGAGGGTGGCATTCAGATATTGTTTTTCCCTTTGCATACACTGCTTGTAAGCATGAATCATGCTATCTGATGATCCGGATAAGTGATTTAAACTGTGAAGACTGCCTACATTTTGATCCCTTGATAACAGGTCTCTAAATTATTAGGCAGAATCGCTACATTCTGGTGAGTTTGCTTCCTTTAAATCAGCACTATCAAGGACAACGTTCCCGGCACTTGCTGTTTGCTGTTCATTTTTCTGCAGGTCTACACCCATGCAGAATTTTGAAAAGGGCAACCTGTGGGAAAGTTGTTATTTTCTCTCCTCCAGCCCTCAATATGCTAGGAAATCATTAAGTTTGATCATTTCCTTACTCATTAACTTAGCATTATATTTACTGAAATGCAAATCCTTTGGACGCGTTTCAAAAAAGCAAAGGAAAAAAAAAAAGTGCCTCTGAACTCACCCATGAAATTCCCCTTCCTCCTCACAATAGATGTTGTTTTCCTTCTCACGCTTCCTGACGCCCGTGCCCTTCTGGCAGCACACCCACCCGCTGCTCCGAGCCGCCGGCGCGCAGCCCCCG